TTCGGGTCTGTTGGTTTCGGTCAAGAGGGCCCTGACTCTGTTTCTCTTGGCCATTTCTTGTTCGGCTGTGAGAGGGACCAGGATAATTTGGGGCAAAGTTGGGTCCGGTTCTGGGGCGTCCTCAAGCAGAAAGTCTGTTACTCTGGCTTTTCGGCGACCGCTGTAACGGTATGTTGGCCTCAAAATTAAGAAGTTTGGCCCAACTTCTTTCTGGAAAACGTAGTGCGGCACGAAGTGTGTTCAGGTTGGGGTAACTGTACAAGGATTGAAGATGGGCTGAATCTGCATAAAGAAGACAAACTGTAAATTCGGTTCAGGAGCAGGTAACCGAAATAAAACAAAGCATGCCAACAAACCGAAGTAATTATACCCGGTTCACCTTTATTCCAGTTTATACTTCGGCCGGGGATCTGTACTTGGTGGTCTTCAAAATTCCAGATACCCAGAAAAAATCGTCATCGTTTAAGTCTTTATCCGGCGTATCTTTTATTATTTTTTCTCTGCGACGGCGTATCCTAAGGTAGTAGACCCATCCGTCATCTTTGGAGCCAATGGAGTATTGGTGGAATATTTCAGCTAGACCGAGGTTAAGACCGGTTCAGCGGTTTAGTTCGGCTATTCCCATTATTATACAGTAAGAATTGGTGGAAAGCTGAGTTGGGCATATTCTGGTTTGTCTTAAGAATTCACAAATCAAGGGTTGAATGGGGAATCTTAGTCCGGTTTCTATTATTGATAGGAGGGTGAAAGGTACATAGCCCTCTTTTCCCCATGGAACGATATCTTGTTCAGCCAGGATAAGTTGGACGTCGTCAGGGATGTTGTAATCCCTTCGGAATTCCGCCAGGCCACCAGGGGTTTCTACCAAAAACCTATACTTCCCCATTTATTTTTTAAGTTATAGAAAAATTACTTCGGTCGCAAAATTGTGCTCAGTAGCTCGGTTGAGCGCGTAGTGGAGTGCCTAGCAACCTAAGTTTGCAAAGTGGAAAACAAAGGGGTTAAGTACAGATCATTGGACCGTGCTACAAAATAAAAGCAAGAATAGGAGTCCTACTTCGGCTATGTGGGTGCTACAGGTTCTATCTCGGTTTCAACAAGATGCTTGATAGCTTGGATTGAGCAGGGGGTTCGATAGCTCGGTCTTGGCGAGCGATTCGTTATCTCGGTTAAAGAGAAGGCTCTGTTAGACCAGTTGAGCCTCTAAGGGCAGCTTTCTGAGTTCGGTCTAGAAACTTAGAAATCTGGCTTAGCCCCAAAGACCTAGCTCGGTCGAAAATTAAGGTTTCCCAGTATGCTAAGTGCTGACTTAGTTTGGTTGGATACCTCGGCTAAGGTCTATCAAGAAGTGGTTTGACTTATTGAAACTACTGGTACCAACATGAGAGTACTAGTTCGGTTAAGTAGTTTGATAGAATGACATCGACTACAAACTACTTTTTAGTTCGGTTATATGGTAATTGTGGATCAAACTAAGTGTTCTGCAGACAGCTTCATGAAGTTCATGGGGTTCTTATGAAGTTTTTCCCAGAAAACGCAAGGTAGAGCAAAAAAATATGTTTTGCAAAAACAGAAACAGTATGCCAAGAGTGAAAGAAAGCAAATGCAAAGACCACAAAAGCAAAACAGGTTTGAAAAACTTACCAGGTGAAGAGAAGGAAATGGAAGTAGAAAATAGCAGCGAGCACGAGCCTCACAGTTGCAAAGGATGAAGAACAATGAAGGCAAAAGGAGAGAAGAAAGAGTGAATGGTGTAAGTGATTCAGAAATAAAGGGTTGTTTTGTGGAAAAAGAAGGGGCAAAAGGCGGAAACTGTTCAAAATTATGCGAAGTACGAGGGCGGCGTGACAGCTGCAATAGGCCAATAAGGGCGTGCCACGTGTCATGGGAAGGAGAAACGATTCAGTTGCTGTGATTGAAGAGACGTTTTGACCGGACAAGCAGAGCCCGGTGTGGAATGAGCTCGGCTGGATAGGCTAAAAGATTTTAGCTCGACTGGAAGAGCTAAAGGGCTTGGGCTCGGTTGGAAAAGCTAAAGGGTTTTAAGCTCGGCTAAAAAGGCTTAAAAACCTTAGCCCGGCTGGTTAAACAAGTAATCCCTATCATGCTATACAGATGGAATTAAGGGGCAATTTAGAGGGTAATTTATATGGAAATTGGGCCGAGCTACGTAAATGGGCCGTTGTGGGCCTCAGTGCGAAGGGCTGAGTAAAAAAGCCGTTAAAGTTACTTCGGTCCCAAAGAGGTTAGCCCGGTCACCATACTAAATCTTATATCGATTAAGGCGCAGTATGGTTAGTTCGGTCTAAAAGCCTTGCTAGAAGTTAGATCGGTTTAGACTTAACACTGTTGACACAAGAGGAACTGGGGTAAGAACATTGAAGGTAGAACCGAACTAACGATAGTTCGGTCTACTCTGTGGCTCGGCGTGATCATGATTACTTCGGTCATATTGGAGTTCGGCCATGGTAAAAACCATCTCACTTGGTTTAAGCAGTGAGGGGGTGTTGAAGGATAAGCATTATCTTTCAGGAGTATGAATCCTAGGAGGACTCTACATGGAGGAGTAAGAGTCCTACTTAGATTGTGCCACACGGAACCTATAAAAACTCACAAACATCGCCTATGGAGAGGTAACACAATTTTGATTCTCGAATTCACAGAACTTCTTGTCTACTTGTCTGTTTTTCTGACTTAAGCATCGGAGGGGTTTCCGACACACACCCGCCGACTAGCTCACGCTTGTGTTTTCAGGGAGTAAAGTGACGTCGTACGGAGGAGTAAAATATTTTTGTAAAGACAGAGGTGAGACTGGATTGTTAAGCGTGTTATTCGCTCTCAAAATCACGTGATTGTTGAGGGGAAAAATCTGGTGAGTAGCACTTATGTTTAGTTTTGCACTTTCTTTGTTGTCAAGAATCTGTTTGACACTGTTGCTTTGTAGGTTTCCAGTTCATATGTAGAAATACTTGAAAAGACAAACACGTGCATGTTCTTGAAACATTAGGTCCTTCTTCTCAGTACTATAGTGACTGAGAGGGTAATTTATATGGAAATTGGGCCGAGCTACATAAATGGGCCGTTGTGGGCCTCAGTGCGAAGGTACTTGGGCTTGTACAAATGTAAAAGATTTCTTCTTATTTCTTTTTGACCAGGCTCCTTTGAACTGCAATGAATTTTTAGCATTCTGTTAAACTGTTTACATGTATATGACGGAAGGATTGCTGCATTATGTTTTCCTATAGTCAATATTATACAATTTTTGCAGGTAAAGAAACATATCAAGCAAGGGCAAGGGCATGAAGGTGGGATTTTTACAGTCGAAGCCCCCCTTCATGTCTCAAAGGTTCAGGTTCTTGACCCAGTTACAGGGTATGGTTGTATACCAGATTTTAAATGCATAATCATAGTTGTTTTGATCTTTGCTTTCAGTTGTTCTATCAATGAATGGTGATTTATGCTAACTATGCAGGAGACCTTGTAAGGTTGGAATCAGATATCTAGAAGATGGTGCCAAAGCACGAGTTTCCCGAGGAATAGGATCATCAGGGTCTATAATTCCTCGCCCTGAGATCCTAAAGATAAAGACCACACCTAGACCTACGGTTGGTATTGGCCTGTCTTAAAACCTATATATATGTTATGTGCTTGTTTGCATGTGCATGTGTGCATAATTTTTAGTTCATGTGTATTGGTTTTTTTTTTCCTGTAACTATATGATAATAGCCAATTTTATGCAGCACTTAAAAGTTGTTGCTCTATATGCTATAGCTGAAATTTCATTTAGTAATTCACAGGAAAATGCAGAAGTATTTTTTATATGTGAGTTATAGGCCGAAGATGTGAGGGCTAACCTCTTTTGTTTCCTCTCATTATAACATCTGGCATGCACATAGTAACAAGAACTAAAGACAAAACTTGTCCTAAATGGATATCTTGATACCACGGACATGTTTGTTTTTATAAGCTGTTATTTCTGTTTGTGTATTTTTCCTTTCAATACCGTCCTTTTTGATGACCTCACATGATTTGGGATCTAAATGTGGGATCCATCCCTTGTGAGACATCTATGTCTCATTTTGTATTTGACCTTTGTGTTTCTAACATTATTGTTAATGAAACAATAAGTTTATGTGCACAAAAGTAGCACACAAATGTCTCACAAGGGATAGGGTCCACATGATTTGAGATCCAAATGTGAGACCTATCTCTTGTAAGACATCTATATCTCATTCTGTGTATAGATTTAAATTTATTGTTTTATTAACAATAATACTAGGAACACAGAATCGGACACAAATGTATAAAAAGTGAGTTGCTTCCAAAGCTGTGAAAAAGTTGTATAGAGGATCTGTGGGTCCATGAATATACATGGGCTTATGAGAAAAGCACTTGAGCATAAGTGCTTCTTATGTCAAACAATGATTTTAAATCAAAATCTAAACTGAAATCAACTGACCTTTTTTTCATAAGCCCGGTATAGCATTTTCAACTGAATATTTGAATTGATTTTGGCTTATAAATGTTCTCTTTTTTTTTGAAAATTTATGTTCCAGGTGTATATGCTCTTGATAACTTCTTCTTTTTCTTTTTTTTTTTCTTTTTTTTTTTCTTCAGGCAAATTTGAAGATCACAAGTATGATAAAATACATGGCTATGATTATCGGACATAGAGACTCATAAAATGAGTAATTTATGTCATTTTAATAGATCACATTCACATTCTTAAACTACACCAGTCTAATTTTTTTATTAGATTATAAACATGTCAAGTCCCTAATAAAATTTAAGAAATGAATAATATTAGAGACTCAAAAAGTTTTATTAAATTTTCTATCAAATATCTCGCATGAATGCAGGACCTACATAGTGAATCCTCCACTCATATAAAACATTTAATATAAATTTTTTAAAATTTCTAATATTTTTCTTAAGAAAATAAAACCAAAAAAGCATTGTAAAGTGATTGAATGAGATTGTAATTAGTCCATTACAAATCCACATCACCAACATTTATTTAGTCTATTACAAATTCCCATGTCATCTTAAAATGCATGACGGCTCACGGGTGGGCAGGAGCACTGACCCGACGCGCTCACCGGAAAACAATTGTATTTGCAAACACACTTGGTAATATGCGCACTGGGATTAGGAGGCGATACTTGGATCAAGTGGTTCTTGTATAGGGCTTCGCAATCCTTGTAGCAACCAGATGCATTTACGGATGCAAAAATGTCGAAACACACTTTGTCCTCTCCCCTAGCAGTGGTTACAAACAGCATAGCTGCCAAATAAAAATAAATTAATTAACAAACAAGAAATGGTATACACCAAAATTTCATACAAATACAAAATGATTTTTTACGGTGCTTGCATTTCATAAGAAAACATGCATTAAAATGTCACTGTCATATATTTTTATATAAAATTTATATTTATATACAATTTTTTCGTAACTGGGTATATGAGAGAGAGAGAGAGAGATAAACACATGAAGAAAACAAATTCAAATTTTAGTATCTTTATCAGTTTGGAACTATTTTGTATTAGTTTTTTTATTTTTTTACTAATTTCTGATCAAAATGTCAAAAATTCACCTTAAAATATTCAAAAATATTTTTTAGTTGAAAAAAACTAAGTAAAAAAAATCAAATGGACTCACACACAAAAAATAGCGGCACACAAATAGGCCTACACAGTTTCAACAGTTAAATTGTAAAAATAAAAATAAGGAGAGTTAAAACAAATAAAAAAAATGAAATCCATGACATGAGAATATATAAATACAAATAATAGGAAGAAATCTTGACCTAACACCATAGCTTGAAAAATGAATAAAAAGTAAAAGGGGTGGTGTATGGCTTGGCCATTATGGGTTGTAGAGAATTATTGATTTTTAAAGTTTTTCAGACTCTAGTTCATTTATATAGAGAAATTTTGAGAGCATTTATTAAAAAATTTCTAGTAAGTGCCTCAATAATATTTGTGAAGAATTATTTAATAATATTTTTTTACCTACTTATCTTGTTCTATACTAGGAAAAAAATAAATGGTTTGATGTAAATTTTGTTATTTTACCTAAAATGTATCATTTAAAATCTTTAAAATATTATGCTATAATTACTATATCCAATAATCCACGAAATATAGACCCAAACCTTATAGTGTAATGTTAAAAATTTCTAAAACATAATTACTAAATCTATCTGTAATGAATTGGCATGATTTGATCTTAATTGATAAATGAGATTTTTATTGATAAATCTCATTTAGAAATGTTTTAACCCAAGAAGTTCATGTAGTAATTTTTTAATCCATTTAGTCCAATGTATTTATACTTTTATTCTATAAAGTCATTTTTCTTGATTTAAACTATTTTCTTAGACTTTTGTGCTCTTATATTTAATGTTGGGGGATGAGAGAGAAGGGAAAGGACCAAGGCATAAGAAATTTCATACACAAATTAAATAATGGATATTATTATTTTATATTATTATATAATATGAATATATTTTTAATTGACAACATATTAAAAATAATGTGAATATTCTCTCTTATCTGATTTGAACGTTTACAACACCTTTTCGAAAAATTCTCTCATCGAATGTAGTGATGTGAACGTTCACAACATGTGAACCTTCTTATTTTTAATTGACAATATATTAAAAATAACGTTGATTATATTTTAAATTGACAACACATTTTTATTCATAACATGTAGTGATGTGAACGTTCACAACATACGAACATTCTCTCTCATCTAATGTAGTAATGTGAACGTTCACATTCGTATATTTTAGTATGAATATTCACATCATGTAATTAACAACATATTGACAAAAATTCATTTCAAATTAATATGAATATAATGATGTGAATATTCATTTCAATTACATGATGTGAATATTCACATCATGTAATTGGCAACACAATGATAAAAATTCATTTCAAATTAATATGAATATAATGACAGTCAACATCTTGATGCATAAGAACTACCAAAATATAATGACAATTAACATTAAATATCAACATTAATAGGGGTAGGAGAGATTGTGAGTGTTTTGGTATTCTTACCTCAAATAGGATCTAATAGAATAATAAAAAAAACATGAATTAGATGGAATAAAATTCTTAAAAAGAAAATTTATCCAAAAAAAAACTCCCTTGATAAATACATGCAATAACTCCCGTTTTTTAAATAAATTTAAAATCATGTTTTTATAAATATTATATATTTTTCTTGAGCTATTGTAGATCTCTTTGAGAAATGATTTACAAGGTTTATTAATATTTTTAACTTTTACACATTTTTTTCAAAATAAACAAGAAAGTCAACTTATTTTGCACTCCCCAAAACAGCCTTTACCATGTAACATACGAGGATCTACCTAATCTTGTAATGAAAATTGTTTAAGAGCTCTAAAATAATGAGCTCTAATAGCTCTAAAAATATTGTAATTTTAATTGATGTGATGTTTTATTCTTTGTTTTTTGTTTTTTTTAATTTTCAGCACTACCAGCTCATTAGAGCTGGCTTAGTGATCCCTTTTTAGTGGTATGTAGCACCACTGATCTTATAATACATTAATGCACCCCCCAAAACAGCCTTTACCTTATCACATAATAGCATATCACCCGTGATATACATAGATTATGTTTATAATTATCTATATATGTAAATTGTAATTTTTAAATGTTTTTTTTTCTTAAATGTCTACTTTTTTCCCTTTTTATATTATATTAAAATTTAATATTTTGATAATAATCATATGTGTTAGATTTTTCAAGGAATTAAATGTCTTTTATTATTATTATTATATTATATTAAATTTTAATATTTTGATAATAGTCATATGTGTTGGCCTTTTCAAAAAATTGTTTCTATGCTTGTTACTAATGCAATAAAGTGTTATTATGAGGGATAATAATCATATATGTTGGGACTTTTCAAGGAATTTATATGTGTTGAATTTCAAAGAATTTTTTTTATACTTGTTCTTAATGCATTAAAGTGTTATTATGAGTGTAAGACTTGGGAATTAACTGTCTTTTTTTATATTATATTAAAGTTTAATATTTTGATAATAATCATATGTGTTAGACTTTTCAAGAAATTTTTTCTATGCTTGTTACTAATGCATTAAAGTGGTATTATGAGGGATAATAATCATATATGTTGGGACTTTTCAAGGAATTTATATGTGTTGAATTTCAAAGAATTTTTTTTATACTTGTTCTTAATGCATTAAAGTGTTATTATGAGTGTAAGACTTGAGGGTTGGGAGAAGTTAATAAATGCTAAGGTTTTTTTTTTTTTAAATCAAAAAATCAGGGAATTTAGATTGAGAGATTGGAACTCCCACAAGACTTAGGGTTAAAAACCCCCGTTTGCTTAATATATGGTATAGTTGAGGATCTACCAAATCTTATAATACATTAATGCAACCCCCAAAACAACCTTTACCATATAACATGTGAGGATCTACCAAATCTTATAACACATTAATGCAACCCCCAAAACAACCTTTACCATATGAAATAGTGTTATATACATCAATTAGTATACTAATTAGTATATCAATTGATGATATGACATA